GAGTAGAAGAAAAAAGGAGCATATCCAATAAGCCTAATTGCAAATGATGTGGGAAATAAGTTTTAAAGGAATAGATATGTCCGAGGTAAACGACAGAATCATGTATTAACCGGAATTAACATAGGAGGATAGCTCTAATCGAGAAGACAATATACCTGACTCATCTTTGGACGTCTTCTAGCAGAATGACGAGTGCTAGCAGCAGCACAGGCAACTAACCGATGCAACTCATCTGGAACGTTTCCTTCAAGGGGAGCACCTACCAGTTCATCATAATTTCCCTCTTCTAAGGCTCTTTTAAGACGGGGCTTAGCCTGTTCATTTCATACGTTAGGTCAACTAGGGAATCCAAAGATTAAAGTCTAAGTGCACTTTAAAATGTAGGTATGTTTATGATAATGCATGAAATTTGGGAATTTGAGATCAAGAGCGAACCCAGTCTACTAAGCTGTCTTCCACCATATTGCTAGGATCAACAGGTTTCTTCCCAGTTATGAGTTCCAAAAGCACAACTCCAAATGAAAATACATCTGATTTGTCTGTTAGCTTGCCACTTGATGCATATTCAGGAGCCAAGTACCTGCAGTATGTCACAACTCACAAGGTAATTTTCCTACTTAGCAACATGTTCCCGACTTGCAAATCTTTTGAGGGATACAATGATTTTTTCACTACTGAGGCCTGATTTCTTCTAGTTGTTCACACAGAATGTTGCTAAAATACTTAGCTACCTTCTACTTGCTCAATCTCAAAATCAAGGACCCCCATTTATTACTTTAACCAAGCTGTCGAAAAAAATTAAAATGACTTCCAAAACATTTTTCATATATGCAAAAGCTGTTTTTTTCTATCTTGCACTGTGCCTATCTCTTGCCTAAGATACTACTACTGAGCTTATGAAAAGTGTTCCGAAAATTAGAAACCTTTAATTGAAGAGCAAGATTCTCCTTTCGCTTAATCTACTTTGTAGATATGGTGCCCAGCTTTTCCTTAATGCTGATGAATATACTGTTACCATTCTCAAAAATTAGAAACCTTTAAAAACGCAAAACAAAAAAAGGAAGGAAAGAAAGAATCAAACTGATTTTCAAAACATTCCAAAGCAATGCTCAGAATTAACAAATTTACTAGACTTTTTGATTGATAACATGGCAGATGATTGGATTTCGTTTAATTAAGATCGTTTAGTAAGTCATGGAAGCACTTGAAGAGAATAGATTAGTTCACCTCTAAAGCTAAACACTAACCTCCGCCAAGTATTTCGTTTACCTCTCAACGAGTAGAGAAATGTTATGTTTGACTCACCCGAAAGTTCCCATAACACGGGTGGAGATATGAGTGAAGTTATCAGAAGAAAGTTTAGCCAATCCAAAATCTGCCACCTGAGAAACCACAAACATATTGAAAATCACCCTTCCAAGTTTCTTGACATATCCAAAATACACGAGATAATAACTACTAATATTTTTACCTTAGCTTCAAAGTTGTCCTCAAGTAGAATGTTTGCAGCCTTTATGTCACGGTGGATAATTTTAGGATGGCCTGTGCATATAAAGCAAGGGATGAGATAGAAAATCAAAGAGAAAGAAAAGGGGAGCAGTGTCGAAATAAAATTGTCATACAATCTTCATGGAGATAAGCTAATCCTTTGGCTGATCCCAACGCAATTTTAAGCCTTGTTGCCCAATCCATAACATGATGTCCCTTTCCTGCAATCATACTTGGTTCAACATTAGCGTGGAGAGCATTTTCAACGGTTCAAATCGCTTTTGAAAAGAATTTAACTGCATACACTGTCAGCGTAAAGAACTTTTATACTATCAACGTATTTTCACCTGTAGTAGCATGTAGTTGCTTTATTTTTCATGATAGTAATCCCACTTTTTTTGAACAATTACCTGTAGTTATCTTCAAGGCGTAAAATTTCTTAATACTGCTAGTGTATATAAACTCTTTTAAGAAAGTTTTGCAACAATACAATTTTATACTCAATTAGGAAGTCATTTTAAGTGGTACATGATGTATCATAGAAGGGAGTAATGAATAACAGGGGGAAGTACCATGAAGATGGAAATCCAAGGTTTTGTTCGGAACATACTCATAGACCAACATTCGCTGGCTATCAGCAATGCAATATCCAACAAGAGAAACAAGGTGGCGATGATGAACTCTGCTAATGATCTCAACCTCTGCCTGAAATTCTCGTTCACCTTGTCCACTACCCGACTTCAAGCTCTTGACAGCTACCACCCTTCCATTAGCCAAAACACCTTTGTGTACATACCCAAAACCACCTTGGCCTAAAATATTGGCCTTAGAAAATCCAGAAGTTGCTATAGCTAGCTCCTCATAAGTGAACCGACTTTGTGCGAACCCACCAAAACTTGGCGATGGCACAAGAGCTTGGCCGTAGACGGTAGAGCTGTTATCGCTACTTAGATTAGGTGCGGAAGGAACCTTAATAATGTGTTCCATGGGCTTAGGACCTTTGTAGTATGGATCATTACTACCTGCACTTCAAAAGACAAATGTATACTTGAATAACTATAGCAGAAATTGGATATGCCTTTTGGCTACAATAGTAATTATAAGAAAATTCGATTATATACACTGATATCTCAACAAATTTTTGCACTATCGATAAACTTTAACAAGTAATAGCAAATTGCTTAATCTTGTCCAGCTTAAATTGTATATGCCAATTGTGTAAACGATTTTGTATGTGAGTGCATCTTAACATGCTATAGTAAGTTAATTCAGTATTTTTTTAGTTATCAAATTAGACTTACAAACGACAATTGATCTGGATGTCATCAGCTTACTCGATGATGTAAAATATCTATGCAATGTCATTGCATATAAGTTACAAGAGTTGCTTTTATTTACAATGTAATATATGCAACTTAAACTCGAAAAGAACTAAAGAGACAAAGGTTACAATTTAACCAACCTTTAGGTGGAAGTCCAGGAATAGGGTCTGTATAGTAGGGTTCTTTCTTCTTCCTTCTCCAGTACACTATGCAAACAATGATAATAGCAAGAACCAGTACTCCTGCCACCGCTATTCCTGCAACTATAATCATATCCGACGAACCTGAAGCAGCCGGTGGCGAGCCATTGTTGCTTCCTGAAGAACCAGCTGCTGCTGATTTTGCTGAATGGGGTACGCCGACTGATTTTTCTGAATTAGGTGGATCGCCACCAGGTGGTTTTTCAGAATGCGGTAGAGGGGGAGATAACTTTGCAGCAGGTGATGGAGGTGGTTCTGAGGAAACAGGAGGCGGGGGAGAAAATGTGGGTGGGGGAGGAGGCGTATCGGGAGAAGCAGGTGGTGGTTCCGAAGTGGATGGCGGTGGAGGTGAGAGTGGTGGCGGTGGCTCAGAAGCTGCCGGAGGTGGTGGTGATGATGGAGGAGGAGAGTCCTTTATGGTTGGTGGTGGTGATGAAGGAGGAGGAGAATTTTCAGGCGGAGGAGGAGATTGTGGTTGTGGGGGTGGAGAGGCAGGTGGAGGAGATTGTGGTGGCGGTGATGGTGGTGGTGAAGATGAATTAGTTGAAGGAGGAGGGGGAGTTCCATTAGGAGTCAGGGAACTAGTGCCATTTTTGTTGGACGTAGTAGTAGTCGAAAGTGATTGCATTTTTCCAAGAAAGGTGAATTTCCAGAGGCTGGAAATTCAACCTTTCCCGTTAACTGCTTCGTCTCAACAAATTTTCAATGTTCCTATATTGCCATGAAAGTTAAAAAGGAAAAAAAAAGTTACATTTCCATTGTTAAATTGAAGATCTTACTATATAATGTCACAATATTACATGATTGATCATTTTTTTCTTTTTTTTCCTCTAACATGGCTCATTCTGTTAAATCTAACAATTTGGACATGGAGATTGATAACCAGGAAAAGAGGAAAAAAATGAAATTTTCAGGAGAAGAAGAAAAATAGAAACATATGTTGAAATTTACCTGAATGATGTATGAGGTTCTCAAAGGGAAGAAAGAGAAATCTTAGCATTGTGAATTGTGATGTACAAAGAAAGTTTACACCTTCCCCCGCCTCTGTCCCCAACTGTTGCCTCCTACAAAGAAGGACCTCTCTCGCTCTCTCTCTTAAAGTTACACACTCTTTCTTTCTTGCTCTCTCCCTCAATAAAATGAAGTTAAAGAAAATAATTGTTCTCTCCATTTCCCTACTTGTTAATTTATTTTTCTTTATTTCATATTTATACTACTCCTAGTACTTTAATACTTCTGTTAAAAATATTATTTTTTGTAACCAGTCATACAACTAAACATTTAGTATGGCCAAACAGCACATGTTTCACCCTCCAATTCTAGTTTGCAAAAGGCAAATAACCCATAATATAACCCGAGAAAGGGAGCCTCCCGAGAAAGGGAGTCTTGGCTTAACTGGTAAAGTTGCTGCCATGTGACCAGTAGGTCATGGGTTCAAGCCGTGGAAACAGCCTCTTGCAGAAATGCAGGGTAAAACTGCGTAAAATAGACCCTTGTGGTCCGGCTCTTCCTGGACCCCGCGCATAGCAGGAGCTTAGTGCACCGGAGTGCCCTTTATAACCCAAACACCATGCCCCATTCAACAGCATTGGCATTGCACGCGGTTCAATTTGGTTCAATTTTTTAACACAGAGACTAAACCAATTAAGTCGATTGTCTAAATATTCAAACCAAACTAAATCAACTACAGAGCATTGCAGTTATTACTATAGAGCTAAGTTGGACAGTGCAGTGATGTTAAAAGGTGTTCGTTTGGTGTACTATCCTGATCTTCATCATGGTAATATCTTCTAGTCTCAATCCAACTAATGGATTGCTATGATCTGAAGCCCGAGTAAAGTGAAGGGCTCTCTGCATCCAGGTTCAGGACAGGAATCTCAATGGAAAAATACCCACTGGAAGTCTGGAACCGAAACTAAAACTTCGCAGCCAGAATGTAAAATGAATAAAGGAAAAAAACAAGCATACTACCATCCAAATGACATCAGTTCAAACATAAATATCTCTAATTAAAGAGTTCCCTATGCTTCAAAGAAAGAAACAATTCTTCTACTAGACAGCAACCCCTAGAATATCATCAAAGGACACTACTACTTCTTCAGCTCATGCATGTACCATAGCGAGGCTGTTTATGTAGGGTAAAAACCTCTTATGGTAATCCACTGGTCCTGGACTCGCCACGGTCTCAACCTTCTGCTCTTTCAAGTGATAAAAATATATCTTTTCATCGGTATGGATCACCACAGTGTCACTGTCAAAAGAGGGAAGGATCTCACAGCACACTACAGAACAAGGGTCATTGGGTATCCGACACACTTGATCAGTACGTGGCTTCTTACTTTCAAGATTCACGTTGACACTACGCTTCAGGCTCATGTCCATGCCTCCATAGATATCTATAACGAAAACATCTCCACTGTCATTATAAGCAGTAACATAGCATACCTCGTCTCCTATTAGCGTTAAGGCACCACCGTCTCCCTCAGATTGGTCAGGTACATTCAGAACTGCCGGGATCTCATTTTTCACATCGAATGCTAGCACTTCATTTGATGACGTATTCCAGTAAGCCACCCCTTTGATATAAGATCCTCCACCCTCAAGACTTGTGCTATTTTCCAACTCAAGACAATCTGAAGAAGAGCAACTCCAAGAATCTGATTCAGAAGAGTAAATCTCAAAGCAGACAACTGGATTACCAAGAAGAAGGACAGCAGCGATAACTTGATAAAATGCTTCAATATTACACTGAGGATCAAATGCAAGAACAACTGCTGGATCAGACCCATGATAATATTGTGGAGGAGGGAGCATTTTCCAGTCTTTGGTTGCAGGATTGCAAACATAATAACTGTCCCACCCTTGACAAAGGAGCAAGCCGCTGCTACAACTTAGGACTTTGACCCTTTCGGGCAAGAAATCAAGGGAAGGACTGGGGACTCCATTAGCAGAACGATCCAGAGACATGAAACCAATGGAAGGATTAGGATCAAATTGATCATCCACCCTTTGGAAAAAGTAGCCTGAAAGTTTCTGGAATGAAAAGCTTTGCTGGTACGCTAATAATGGACTAGCGATCCACTGATTCCATTCTTTAGACACTGCTCGAAACTTCATTAATGATTTAGCGGGGAGGATAGGAAGTACATGTCTCTTCGCCACATCTTTGATCTTCATATCCACTTTACTTAAGATGTCTTCAGGAAATTCAGAAGCTTTGATCCCTCCGTTGTGATAAGGGGCAGTCTTAAAATCATACTCGCAGAACTACAATCCAAGACAAAAGACTTTGTTAAAAAAGGTATATATGATACTCAGAAGCAAGAGAAATATACTAATTACTAACTATGCACAAATCTCATACTAGTTGTATCTACTTCTCTAATATGCCAACGTGTTCACTCAAAAAGACTAAGAATCAATAGAAGAATAGGGCAAGAAAGTTAGTATATTTATCATCAATAAAACACCAACAATACATTCATCAAAGAAAAAAATAAAGAGAGGGAGAAAACAAATACCGACTGACTAGACTGAGGTTTGATAGCTAAATAGAAGTCCTGATCAGATTCAGTGGTGTCAATAGCGTCATCATCGTCTTCCCAATTTTGTTCAGAGCTATCAGCCATGTCGACGCCGTCGTCCTCCGAAGATGCCATTTTTCTGCATTAAAAGCTGGTTATAAACCCTCAAAGTATCACTAATGAACACTCAAAAGAATCCCCCACTAAAAGAGAGGGTAAAAAAAAACTCAGTATATTGAAAGATAAGGATTTTAAAAGTAATCTCCTTATCACCTATTAGCAGCATTTCTATAACCTTGGTCACTTGGGTTTGATCAAGAAATTTCACTATAGTAAATATGAAATAAGTCGATCACACATTGAGGAGAGCACCATATCAGAGATGTTAGTAAACTCCGATGGTCCTTATAAACTATAACGTGAATATTCTTCTATTCGCATAATCAAAACATAGTTACATGTCATGAGGAGTACGAATTCATTACTCAGATGATCACTCAACTAACCAAAATTATATACTAAAGTCACTTTTCTTTCATTTGCATGGGAAAATCACTCAACTATTCCTATTTGCACACAAATGGTCAATCAACCAGAATTATCAAACTTTCCGGTGGAAAAAATGTGACGTGACAGTCCATATGAATTTTTTTTTATATTTTTGGACCAAATTAAAATAATTAACACCCAAATAAAACATAGAAAATTCACCCATACACCCAGGGGCGTACGCAGCAATTTTTATAAGCGGTGTCGAAATTTATAAAAGAATTGAAATATAACTTTGATTATCATTCTTTTGACAAGAAATAACCTTAGTTTGCAAAAGAAAAATGTGGTAGTTGAGGTTTGAACCTTTGACCTCTTCAAGAAAAACCATGCACATTACCAACACACCAAGACACAATTTATGTTAAGTGGTGTCATTTTTTCCTACTTATCTGTTTCTGTATAGCATAAATACATATATTTAGTAAAATTTTCCGACGAAGCGGTGTAGCGTGACACCGCTTCGATAAGCGTAAATCCGCCCCTGCATACACCCAACCTAGCTCGCTAAAAATAAAAAATACCCGCTAATTAACTAAAATCAAACGCTAAAACCAACCCTATTACACATGCATCTCTCTTCTTCTTATAAAGAGAAACCTTTTGTTTCTTCATAGTTTCACTCTGGTCCTTAATTTCGTACCTATTATTATTTTATAAAAAAAAAAAGTAGATGAATTAGCAATAAAAAGAAGAATACAAGTCATTGAGAAAAAAAATGACATGGGTCACCTTAGTCTTTAGTCTTTAGTCTTTAATCCTTAACCTCGTACCCATTATTATTTTATAAAACTAGAGTAAAACCATGAAAAAAAGAAGAAAACTGCTTTTTACAAGAAGAGAGATGCATTTATAACATGGATGCATTTTAGTGTTTGGTTTTATTTTGGGGTGGATTTTTATTTTTAGTCAGCTGGGTTGGGTATATGAGTAAATTTTTTATGTTTTGTTTGGGTGTTAATTATTTTATTTGGTCCAAAAATATAAAAAGTCACATTTTTCCAATGAAACAATTCGGATTGAGTGACCATCTATGTGCAATGGGAATAGTTGAATGACTTTTCTGTTACAAACGACGAAAGAAAAGTGACTTTAATTTAGTTCATAATTTTGGATAGTTGATTGATCATATGAGTGATGGACTCACAGGAGTACTCGCTTAAAAAAAATAAAAAATAAAATGATAAATTACAAGAACTAGATGAATCAAAAACACATTCCCAAAATTGGAACCATGCAAAAACAACCAAAAATGTCATAGGTTTTCATGCTAAACGATAGATTCAAAGAACTCACAGAAGTGCAATGCGCGCAGTTGAATAGATTTGCCGGAAAGAATGGAAAAAAGCCGCCGTAAAACCCTAATGATGGAGAGGAGAGAAAACCGTGCGGAGACAAGACAGTTCAAAAATGCAAGTGAATGAGTTTTAGTTTTGAGGAGACGAGAGAATCTTTAGCTTTAAGGAAGAAGTTGGGGGCTCATATATATTTGACATGTCATGGCCCGGTCTATATTCAGTTTTAAAAAAGTTACAGTATAAATTAATTTAATTTATAGGCTATAGTATAGCAGGTTATTCATAAGTTTAACATAACTATCAACAAAGATTAATAGTTTAAAGATTTTATTACTAAGTAAATAATCTTTCGTTTAACTTTCCTCCCAAGTAACTGCGAGAGTCCTGGTTGTCTAATAAAACCAGAGATATACTACTATATTATAGATTTTAAAATTTTATATACAATGTATTAACATTTTACATCATTCTATCGCTTAAAATTCAAGTAAAAGTAACTACTAATACTAAGTAGGGGTGTTCATGGTTCGGTTTGGATCGGTTTTTCCCTAAAAAGAAATCAAATCAAGTAAGTCGGTTTTTCAAATATTAGAACCAAATCAAACCATTTAAGTCGGTTTTTTCTCGATTCGGTTTATGTCGGTTTTTGTAGGTTTTTTAATTTTTCGGTTATTTGTCGGTTTTTTCTTAAATAAAAGACATACACTACCAAACACATATTCCGGCGACCACATTTTCAATGTAACACTATCAAATCAATTGTCATTTGAGAAATCTATTATTTACCAAGATATATTGATGATAATTGAATCAAATAGTGATGAATAATTTAAGGACTCAATTAAAAATATATTATTTTTAACACGAAATGGATTCTTACACGTAACAAAAGAAAACTACCAATCAAACTAGAATGTAAAGGTAAAGAACNACCAAACCAAACCAAAAAGTATCGATTTTTTTGGTCGGTTTGGTTTGGTTTTCGGTTTGGTTCGGTTTTTCGGGTTTTTATGAACACCCCTAATACTAAGCATGGATTAGTTGAAAAATAACGTAAGTAGCTTATTAAAATATGTTAAATTATACTAATAATGTGAAATTACTTCACATAGAAGTTAAGTGGGCGTTTGGACATAAGAATTGTAAAATTCCAAAAAGAAAAGTGAAATTTTTTTTTAAGTGAAAATGATATTGAAAATTAGAGTTGTGTTTGGACATGAATATAATTTTGGGTCGTTTTTGAAGTTCTGTAAGTGATCTGAGTGAAATTTTGAATAATAGCTTTTTCGAATTTTTAAAATTTTCGAAAATTTTCAGAATTTATCTTCAAGTGAAAATTAGGAATTATTGGTCAAACACTAATTTCGAAAAAAAGTAAAAAAATTCAAAAAAGGTAAAAAGTTCTTATGTCCAAACGGGCTCTAAATCTTTGTGCGATTACCAAATCTCATTTCAAATTTTTGTTTAGGCAGTTGATTGAATTTGATATGATTGTATCATACCAAGTGAATAATGATTGCTTTGTCAGGATACTGAAATTTTCGACCTGATTGGTAAAATTCATTATTACATAAATATTTAAATAATAACAAGTAAATAAATAAACTTATCTCTCCTTTTAAATATTTTTTGGTGATAAACATAAAATAGCAACTGTCTAACGCAATCTAAGGGAATCCCAAACCCCTCAGATTTCTCAAACCCGGTTATTTTGTGGTGTTTGGTTAGCAGAAAATACATTTAAGGAACATTTTCCTCCAAATAAGGAACAAACTAATTTCCTTATAAGCCATTTCCCTTCGCAATTAATGTAAGGGATTTTTTTCTAACTATACCATATATGAAATTTTATTACCCTAAATGTGCATAGTTTGTTAATTACCCGCCCAGTCCACACTTTTATTACAATTTATATATCATTCGACTATTAGGGCATTAAAAGGGCATAATATTCCCTAAAAAACGCGCTAAAATTAAGGAGAGAATCTTGGTGTTAATTGATTCTACATTAAATTCAATTTTTAAAAAGGGAAAGGAGATTTCTCATCTGCGTATTTTTCTCCAGATCAGATTTGATTGGTAGGCAAAGCCATTGGAATTTTTTTCGTAATTAAAAAAAAAAGACTAAAAGCTTCAACAAATTGAAATCAAATCTGTTTTTCATCTTTTTTTTCTCAATACACAAATCAAAAAAACAATAAAATATAGAACAATACCTCAGCAACAACACTCAATCGTGTCCAAAATCCCAATCATGCTACAATTGAATGGGAAAAATCTGATTATAAAAAATGGGTCTCATCTCTGTATTTTTTGAGAAGAAGAAAGAATGGAGAAGAGGAAGTCTGATTTTATGTTAATATCTACAAAATTCCTACATTTATCTACAAATAACTACAAATGAGTTTTAGTATTGTATAAAGCTGTATTGTTTTTAAAGGTTATCTACAAAATTACTACATTTATACTACAATTAAACTACGATCTATGTTGAAAAAAAATGTTGACTACAAAATCTTATATTCATCTACAAAAAAAACTACAAATAAACTACAAATCAGTTTTAGTATTGTATAAAGCTGTATTGTTTTTAAGGGTATCTACAAAATTACTACATTTATACTACAATTAAACTACGATCTATGTTGAAAAAAATGTTGACTACAAAATTTCTTCAAAAAAACTACAAATAAACTACAAATCAGTTTAAGTATTGTATAAAGCTGTATTGTTTTTAAGAGTATCTACAAAATTACTATATTTATACTACAATTAAACTACAATTTATATTGAAAAAAAATGTTGACTACAAAAGGTTTCCTATGTAGCATAGGAATGTAAAAATCCCAAAAAAAAAAATAGGGTTTCAAGAATAGGCAATTCATGAAGTGATCTCCATACAAAATGTCATAGCTCGAAAGAAATTCAGATATCAAAAAGTGAGAATCTCGCCGCCGCCATTTGTTGCTTGATTTCTATCTGTGTTTGAAATTTCGAACTCTCTGCCATTATTATTTCCAGTGGGAATTCAAGCGGTTCGATCAAAGAATTTAATATTTTCTTGTGAATCTGAAAATATGATATTCTTCAATTCTTAATAACAATTGAGAGGCAGTGGGCAGTTGGGGATGATCAACGAGAGGAAGCATAGGAGCATCGTGAGTTGTGTGTGTGTTGTGAACAGTTGAGATGAAAGGAAAGAGAAAGTGGGAAGATACAGTCCTATAATTATGCCTAATATAAATGAACCCTTAATTATATCCCTAATTTGAATTATGGTATAAAAATGATAATTTGGTATGCTGAAATGTAATTAACTAAAACCTTAAACATTGAGGGTAATAAGGTTTCATATATGGTATAGGAAGGTAAAAATCCCTTAATGTAACTCTTGAGTTTAAGCCCGTTTGGAATAGTTGATTGTAAATAGTTGATGAGTTTGAAGTTTTGAAAAATATTTTTAAGTGCTAAAACTGATTTTTTAAAATAATCATCTACGTGCTTGGATCGACATGCTAAAACTGATAATAGTCCGTTGATGTGTTAGGTACAAAAGTGAGGATAAGTTGTTCTTTCATTAAAATGACTAAAATATCTTTAAAAACTTTACAAAAGATTATAAATTAAAAAAAAAAAATTGTAAAGAAAAAGTTGAACAACGAATATGGAATGAAAAGGAAGTTAGAAAATTTTTTGTGAATTAGAAATATTATTAAGGATAAACTAGTAAAAGTCTTAGTCAAACTAACAGTGCTTATAAGCCAAAAAGTCATAAGTTCATGAGGGTGACCAACTTATGACTTATGGCCGATTTTAGCTTATAAGCATTTGGCTTATAAACAGGGTATTTACCAAACGCGTAAATAAGAACAAAAGATGCTTATAAGCCAGTTTGACCAGCTTATAAGCCTATAAGGCAAATACCCTCTTTATATCATTGTTCCAAAAAGCACTTAGTCATCAATCTTTAATATTAAAAATATTTAATTAAATCACCATGTAATTTGTTAACATCACAATTAGTTTTTAATAAATATTTTTAATGGTCTAATCAAACAACAAAAATATTTTTCAAAAATAATTTATGAAATAATATTTCTGGAACACGAAACTAATATATGTAAAACTATCTATAGACTCATATATGCTTTATTAAAAACTAATAAATCTCTGGAAAACGCGAATGTGTACTCTCTCTAAGAAATATTTTTATCTTATTCAGTTTGTAATTTGGATTTTCATGGGAATTGGTATCCTAAAAATGTTTTTTTTTCTGTTTGTTTGTTGTTCTCTAAGGTCCTTTCTTCTGCTTCATTCTTAGCAATTAAACCAGCAAGAGGAGTAGCGTGCTGAAAAAGTTAGTGGTCTTAGGAAACTTAATCACAACAATTACCATTTACCTAAAGATATCTTTTTTAGAGTACATCAACATATTCATGTATTAAAACCCACACCAACAAGGGTTGTGATGGAGTGGTAAGTACTCCTTCATCCTTAACCAGAGGTCTCGGGTTCGAGCCTCTGGGTATGGAGTCACGCTTTACCCTCAATGTGGGACTTCCCAGCGCGCATCAGAATTTAGTCGGACCCCAATGTGGGTACGAGACACCGGATGAGAAACCAAAAAAGAAAAAAAAGAGAGAAAACCCACTATCATTCCCCTATGGCCCTAACCCCCCCCCCCCC